TTCAGCAACCAAGTACAAGCTAAATTTCCGACTAACCTTACGATTATCGAATCAGAGAAGCTTTGGAGATAAGGGAACTCACGAGCCAGTCGTCTTATTTTGGCTATGATGCTCACGTTAATAATCATTACAGAATCGATCCATTCGATGCTACTGATAGATCATTCCATTAATCATTTTCCTGACCAACTCCATATATTCATCTTTTACTCCAAATATTCAATTTTTAACTAAGAGGCCTTCCTAGAATTGCATATGCAAACAATCGAAAACAATTACAGACAAGAGAACAGAAGGAAGCTTGATAATTTTTTTTCAGAAATTTCCATTTAAACTATTGTTAATAACTCACTCATTGGTTAATCATGATCAGTTTCTAGCAGCCAAAATCACCTAAAATCAACTGAAAGCATAACAAAGAACATTAAATTTTCAGTCAGAACTACAACAAAAGACTGGCTTGTTCCTCCGCCGTCGCCGGCCGAAACTTCCAGATGCAGGCCAAAACCCCGCCTTCAACGTATATCTTCTTCGCCTTCGCCCTTACCGCCTTAATCTCCTTCGCCAAGCCGATCACCTTCGCCGAACCAGAAAAAACCCTCCCAAAAAAACTCCGATCCCTAATTTCACCCGCCTGGTTCCCAAACACGGCGATTAAATCCTCGCCCTCGCGGACCACCTGCTTGATCCGCTCCACCAGATCCTCGGTGGCCCCGTCCTTGTCTTGGATTTTCTCGGCGTCCGCCAGGAAAGCTCGGAGGAGACGGACGTCGTTCTCGAGGATCTCGGCCTGGGTTTTCGCGCCTCGGACCAAATCGGCGTTGTAGAGGACAAAGCGCTTCAGATTTTCCAAGAGGAACAGCACCGCGATCGACTTCTCCGGGACCTTAAGCTTGTCGGCCGGAGTGCGTGAGCGCGTGAACAGGTACGCGCCGGTGAGGGCGAGGAATTTGACGGCGAAAAATAGCTGCTTTTTCATAGCTGCTTTATTATCCGACGAGAGTTTAGACTGTTGGGAAGTAATGATAATGCAATTGCAACCCACTTGTGCTCATCATGTGTACTGTGAATAATTAGCCCCAAATTTGTAAAATTATTAAGTGCAAATACTTTCTTTATTGCTCTTAACTATAAACTATACTGGATCTGTTGGCATTGGCAGGCATGATCGAAACTAAACAGTAAATAAGACTGAACTATACTACAACTTACAGCAGAAAAATCCTTATTTTCTTTTTTAGTACCAACTTTTTCTTATTTTCTTTTTTAGTACCAAAAATGAGGCAAAAGCCTTAGACGATAATATTACGAGGGTAAAAAACACCTAAGATATCATGGTATAATCACGGTTTAACACCTAGGTCTCATCACTTTAAAGAGAAAAATCCTTATTTTGGAGCAGTTGACTAATCGAACTCTAGTCTAAGTCTAACTATCGGTAACGAATTTATGAGTGGCTCATCTTGTTCAACATGTCTAAGAATTCTTGTTCAAAAATAAATATTTCCATTTTCTAAAATTTAAGATATAGTCATTTTAGTCATAATTGTGCTTGTATTCAATGCGTCAGAACATTATAATGATGTGTAGCTTGATAATTAGCTTATTAGTTCTTTTATATCTTTAATTTTTGTCAAAAACCAAAGTAATTTTGAATGAGAATGGAAAAACTGATTAAAAGGTTTATTTTGTGAGATACATTATTTATGTCAATGTTTGGTTCAATGATCACACTAATGTGGTATTTATATACTGATTGTGCATATGCCATCTACCTATAAATTCGAGTTTTAAATAAAAAATTATCAAAAAAAAATATATTGAAAAAATAATTTTCAGATATTTAGTAATATAATCAAGGATTGACATTAAATTTATTTAATTTTATTTCCTTAACTAATTGGATAATGATTGACACAAAGTTTAAAGCTAACAAATATTGTTACAAAAGAAAAAAGGATATAAAATTTTAATTGATTTGAATTCTCATCACCTAATAATTTGTCAATTTTTATGGGATATAAATTGATTTGAATTTTCAAAACCTAAAAATCTATCAATTTTTAGAAATTCACACGGATTTTGTTCGGAAATCAAAAGAGGATCATTCCACGGAAGATAATTATTCGCAAATATTTTTTTAGTGTGTATCAAGAGTTGCTTAAAAGAGTTGTATTGGAGTGCATCGCTATTACTTGAAAATATCGTAGCATATATACATTGAATATACATCTTAAAACTAATTCATTAAGAAAATAAAAAGATGACCAAATTTGAAATGATTTGCTTTCGGATTTCAATTTTATTTCAATTTAGTTTCCTATACAATTGAATTAGGATTGACATCAACCAAAAAATTTATCCGATTTGCTAAAAAAAAAGATATGAAATGTTTTGTATATTGTGTTTGAAATATAAAAAACTAGAGTTTTTTTTTTTTTAAAAGAAAAAATAACTAAATCTATTAATTAAAAAAAAAAGATACAAAATCGGCGTGAGTATATCCTGTAAGAAATATGAAATTAGACGTTATTTAATTGATAGATATGATTAACTAATAAAAAAAGATTGGATAAATTGGTTTTTACATATAAAATTGTTTTTTAAATAAAATAAGACACCAAATTCAATTAAATATGGACAATTATGTATGGCATATCAATTGATTTGAATTTAATTTACCAAAATTATTTGATTTGTTTACCAAAAATGTACTCATACGTATTTTAATATGTGTATCACATTCAAATATCACATTTTCAAATTCAAACGTTTTCCAATAACATATTTGAAAATTTTTAAAAAAAAATAATAATTAATTTTATAGAGATTCACATGGAGTTAGGTAGGAAATAATAAGATGATCATTTAGTTATCAAATAAAATGTCTTGGCATTATATATTCCAAATATTCATTTTTTGAATATCACACGTGTGTTTTAATTTGATACTTGTAAAAGTAAGTCAACCATTTATTTTTTAAGTCAAAAATATTATTTATGTATTTTTCCAACAATTTTTTTATAAAATTTGTTACATAAAAAAAACACAAACACACACACACACACATACAACATCGATCATATTGTGAAGTGTTGTTAAAAAAGATAATGTAAAAAAATTCAAACCGTTTACCAAATTTTTGGCCAGAAATTGTGTAAATAATTATAAAATTTGTTACTAAAAAAGAGTCCAAATGATTCGATTATATTGTGAAGGCTGTTAAAAAAAAAAAAAA